TCTAAAATCTCCCCGTGTATACGAATTTTCAGGCACATCTCCCACTGTCTTTTAGATCTCCCCGTGTATAACAAAGGTTAGGGCACATCTCCCACTGTCTCTCTAGATCTTCCCATGTATAATGAACGTTACGGCGCATCTCCCACTGTCTCTCTAGATCTCCCCGTATATAATGAACGTTACGACGCATCTCCCACTGTCTCTCTAGATCTCCCCGTATATAATGAACGTTACAGCGCATCTCCCACTGTCTCTCTAGATCTCCCCGTAAACATACCTTTACGACAGACCTCTTTTGTCTCCTCGCGCCCATGTCCTTGTATAAAGACAAGTGTGGCTATAGCTGCAACTTTTCTATTGCAGAGACATCATTGTGGCAGATCTCGTCGACGTTTATAAATAACCCATTGGTCATATACTGTTTCCCTCCTGCCTGCGTGCCCAATTTCTAACCCTTTGGGAAAAAAAATCTTTCATTCGTTCGTTGGTTCTGCTCTTTTTTTTAAATATAAGGAACAGTGTGACGTATCTTCCATTGTCTCTTGCTCTGCTGTGTGAGAGATAAGTGGTTTTGTAAAATCCAATCTAAGACGTGCCGGTTCTATCCTAACATCTCTACCCCACCCCTCCCCCACATATCCCAGACAGTCGAATATTTTAGGGGGTGGTAGATAGGCTGCACGCGGGACGAAGGTGGGTTGGGGTTAGGCCCAGTTGTAAAGGTTCTGGGGCAGTTATAAGCAACAGAAAGCCGGAAAACCCACTCTTACCTCCTTCGAAAATATTGGACTGTCCTATGACGTCATACGGGGGGGGGGTGGAATATTGGAAAAGCACCGACGGTCCTGCATATCCAATTTGTGACTCCCTGAAAACAAAGTTCGTTCGTTTGTTCAGTCGTTCTCCTTACATCGTACAACGAACGTTATGACCCATCTCCTATTGTCATCTTGTCCTCCTGTCTATGTATAAATGACTAATTGAAACCGTTTTTGTCTTCTTCTTGTTCTCCACTTTCTGTATAAACAGCTAAATGACACATTTCCTTCAGTCTTCCGCTTGCTCTCCTCTCCTGTACAGGCAGCCTCATGTACATCGCTTTACCATCTCCGCCCCACTGTCTCCCTGTGAGCAAAGAGCACTAAAACGCGTCTCCTCCTGTCTGCAGGCTAACCAGATCAAACTGACGCCCAGAGTTCTACAGATGATCACGGAAATATTCGAAGACTCCCGGGGTATCGACTATGAGCGCTTGTACCAGTGTATGGCCAGAGCTCACCTTCGAACAGGTAAGTGGTCACCAAGACAGCCAGGTGTGCAAGTGACTGTAGTGTCAGCTTTGCTGAAAATAGCCTAAGTCACATTTAGTCTGCAAACAGATGAACAAATCTATCACTCAAGCCAGCCTAGAAGTGCAAGACAAATACAAAAAAAAAAAAAAAAACCAAGACACTGGGCTACAACCTGGCATCTGTGAGACGACAAAACCACGACACTTGACTACAACCTGGTATCAGTGAGACGAAAAAACCACGACACAGGGCTACAGCCTGATAGTGAGACGACAAAACCACGACACTGGGCTACAACCTGGCATCAGTGAGACGACAAAACCACGACACTTGACTACAACCTGGTATCAGTGAGACGAAAAAACCACGACACAGGGCTACAGCCTGATAGTGAGACGACAAAACCACGACGCTGGGCTACAACCTGGTATCAGTGAGATGACAAAACCACGACACCGAGCCACAAACCGGTATCAGTGAGGCGACAAAACCACGACACTGGGCTACAACCTGGTATCAGTGAGACGCCAAAACCACGACACTGGGCTACAACCAGGTATCAGTGAGACGACAAAACCACCACACTGGGATACAACCTGGTATCAGTGAGACGACAAAACAACGACGTTGGGCTAAAACCTGGTATCAGTGAGACGACAAAACCACGACACCGAGCCACAACCTGGTATCAATGAGACGCCAAAACCACGACACTGGACTACAACCAGGTATCAGTGAGACGAGAAAACCACGACACTGGGCTACAACCAGGTATCAGTGAGACGACAAAACCACGACACTGGGCTACAACCAGGTATCAGTGAGACGACAAAAGAAGTACTGTACTCCTGTACTCGATGTCCATGGATGTCTTGATACTGGCCCCAGTCTCAGCATACAGATGGCATATGGAGAATCCGGACAAGTGCATGACCTTTCTGGCATCAGCGAGAGTCCAACAGCTGGTGCCCCAGAATCCCATACAGCTGTATCCACTCCCCTCAGTGAAAATTGATAACTGGGATAATGATAATGTTGATGACTGATGACGGTGATAATGATGATGTTGACGATTGATGACGGTGATAATGATGATGTTGACGATTGATGACGGTGATAATGATGATGCTGATAATTGATGACGGTGACGATGATGATGTTAATGACTGATGACGGTGACGATGATGATGTTGATGATTGATGATGGTGATGATGTTGATCATATTGATGATTGACGACGATGTTGATGATGTTGACCATTGATGATGATGATGATGGTCACGCAACGCCACATCTTCTGTAGCAAGCTGATAACCCAGAACAGATATGACTCTCTATATCAGTGGTTCTCAACCTGTGGACTTCGACCCTTTTGTGGGTCGAAAGACCCTTTCACACGCTGGCAAAGACCTTCGGGAAAAACATATTCTCTGAAGTTAAGAAGTAGTAGTGAAAATAATTATTTGATTGGGGGTCGCCACAACACGAGGAGCTGTATTAAAGGGTCGCCACAACACGAGGAGCTGTATTAAAGGGTCGCCACAACACGAGGAGCTGTATTAAAGGGTCGCCACAACACGAGTTGCTGTATTAAAGGGTCACCACAACACGAGGAGCTGTATTAAAGGGTCGCCACAACACGAGGAGCTGTATTAAAGGGTCACCACAACACGAGGAGCTGTATTAAAGGGTCGCGGCATTTGAAAAGTTGAGAACCACTGCTCTATATGGAGACTCACTTTAACCACACGAGAGATGTAGAGTTCGCCTCTATCTATATTCTCTTACTGGTAGCACTTGTAAAATATGTGCCACTGTGTACTAGGCTTACCCGCACTAGATATTAAACTAGGAATACTTAATAAATAGATATTTTTTTAGGGTAGATCAGCAGCAGTCATTTACGTTATGCTGATGACACAGTTTTGATAGCAACAAGTCAGAAAGAATTACAGGAAATAATAGACATTGTGGTGTTAGAAAGTGGAAGAATGGGCCTCAGTTTGAATAATGGGAAGACAGATGTAATGGTGGTATCAAAGAACCAAATTATTCCTAAATGTGTCATAAAAGTCAATGGTGTTATTTTAGGACAAGTACAGAAATTTAAGTATCTGGGAACATGGATAACATCAGATGGAAGATGCATAACTGAAATAAGAAACAGAATTGGACAGGCAAAAACTGCATTTTATAAAATGAAAAACATCTTGTGCAATATATCCTTGTCATTGAGAGTTAGAAAAAGAATTCTTGCTTGCTACATACATCCATTTTTAACATATGGCTATGAATCCTGGACAATCAGTAGGCAGGCCAAACAATTTCCTGAGGCCTCTGAGATGTGGTTTTACAGAAGAATGCTTAGAATACCTTGGACAGCCAAAAAGAGCAACCAAGAGGTTTTGAAAGAGGCGGAAGCCCGAAGACAACTTATCTCAAACATCAGAAGGAGACAGACATCATTTTTCGGCCATGTTATGAGAAGATGGAAAACAGAACATGTTGTGACCACTGGAAAGATCTGTAGAAAGAGGGATAGAGGAAGACAACGAGAGAAGATGCTTGACAGTCTTGTTGCATGGCGTGGAGGTGTGTCGGCACACGAACTGATACATGCTGCAAGAGATCGCAGATTATGGAGAGGCATGATCGCCCACGCCAGTCGGCAAGGCACCTAATGATGATGATGATGAGATCAGCGGCTGACCTAATAGGTAAGCACGCTCTACTTTTATTCGGGAGATCAAGTTTAAAATCCTGGTTAAGGTGATGGATTCTTTTTTTCTGTCGAGTGTAGAAAATAAAATCCTAATCTGCACCGACGACTATCCAAATTGTTCCGGCTCAAGACCACCTGGTGCGGCACCGCCTAGAAGAGGGATAGATACAGTCAGCAGTGACGTCAAGAACTGAGGACACACGTGACTAATTGGTGCTGATTTATGTTTGTTCAACGCAGGTCGGGACAGTATCAAGGCAAGCAACAAGAGAAATGACCTGAAACGTAGGCAGGAGAAGACCATCGAAGAGATAGACAACGACTTTCTGCGAAGGTTTGTATTAAACACGAGAATAAGACGACGTGTAAATGTTCGTATTAAACACCATAATGCGACGACTTTTGGCTAAATGTTTATCATTAGAATACACTAACTCTTTGAGGTTTGCATTAAACAAATATTAGATTACGAGAATCTGTGCGAGGATTTATATTAAACAACAGAATACAGCGAATTTCTTCGAAGATTTGTAGTAAACATCAGAATTCGGAAGCCTTCTGCAAAGGTTTGTATTAAACACCAGAATACAACCATGGACGTAACACTTTAACTGTAATTAATAGAAAATCTAATGGATCGACCTTACTGCATCAGGGTTCAACCCATATAACTATGTCTCTCTCCGTAGAATGGCTATCCAAAAACTCCGTAGCAATGGCGACGATCCCTTGGATCTGTATGGACATCGTGAATTCAACGACAGAGTAGTGAGAGGGACTCCCAGACGGCTGGACTCCTCGGTATCGGATATCCCCGCTAAATGACAACTTGCGTCATCAACTTCGTTTCAGCTGTCAAAACAGACAAACGAATATTAAACATCTCATGCACGATCCCTCCCAGTTGCTAAATAGACGGGTGACCACACAAGCTACATTTACTTCCCAGAACATTTATTGTTATCAATTTAAGGTTAATTAGGAAGAATTTGGAAGCAACAGAGATGTGGTTTCTGAGACGAATGTTACGAATACCTTGGACGGCTAGAGTAACTAACAACGATTGCTTGAAAGAAGCTAATGAAAGTAGATCTCTATATAGAACAATAAGAAAAAGAAAAACATTGTTCTTTGGTCACGTAATGAGAAGAGAGACACTGGAGAACACCGTGACAACTAAAAAGATCAGTGGAAAAAAGGGGTAAAGGTAGACCAATAGAGATGATGCTGGATGGGCTGAAGTGATGGCATGGACGGATATCACAAAGAGAGCTGTTCCAGGCAATCAGGGATCGTGATCTGTGGAGAAGCATGAGCGCCTACGCCAATAGACAGGACACATGAAGATGATGATTTAACGCTGGAAGCTCAGGTCAATGGGAGAAACAATCTTAAAAGAGATTTGAACAGGTGACATGTGAGTCGACTGAGCAGCCTCTAGCCTCTAAGCTAGCACCTCCCCTCCCCCTCCCTTTTCTTCGGCGTTTGTCTTCAACAGAACGGTTGTCACGTTGTATACGGTTTACAGCTAGGTTGCGATATTTGCATCTATGGTCCAACGCAGCTTTTTTTTTTACCAAACTCTTACTTAGCTACCTGTTACGACAAGCTTGTTATAGGGTGCAAGGTCTATTACATTCCCCCTAAAAAGGGGGTCCCGGAAGCCACACGGGGATCTGGGGTAATGACTGTGTGCGATAAGCTTGAGCACCTTCTGTTGCAGGCTGGAGGAGCAGCTAGTGAAGGAACAGACGTATTTCGACATGGATCTTCTGAAGGCGGAGTTCTGCAAGTATGACCACCAGGGAACTGGCAAGATGAACAAGGAAGGGGTCAGTCTGTGTCCGTTGTATCTATGTGTTTGTTAGAGGTGCTGAACCACACACGGCTCAAAGATCAATGAGACTGTGTCCGTTGTATCTCTGTTTGTGTTTGTTAGAGGTGTACGGGTGCTAAAACACACGAGGCCCAAAGACCACGATTATGTGTCCGTGTATCTCTGCTTGTATTTGTTAGAGTTGTCAGATGATGAACCACACACGGCCCAAAGACCCTGAGTCTGTGTCCATGTATCTCTGCTTGTATTTGTTAGAGTTGTCGGATGATGAACCACACACGGCCCAAAGACCCTGAGTCTGTGTCCATGTATCTCTGCTTGTATTTGTTAGAGTTGTCGGATGATGAACCACACGAGGCCCAAAGACCAGCAGTGTAAGACTGTCCACACATCTACGCGGTCAACCCAGAAACAGGTACACAGCCTTTAATCTGGCCGCGTAGATGAGATTGACGTTTCCTTTCAAGACGGACAGCATTTACCTCAGAGGCAAGGAGCCAACAGTCTGCACACAAATAAGCCACGTCTGTATAATGAATGTTGCAACTCGAGTTCTCAAACAAGACCACATGTGCAAAAGAGAACGAACAACTTAGACTTTCCACAGGAGTTTACAGCCGCTAAACACTGTGAAGAAGAATGAATTTGTGACATTATTTTTTAGTTTGTAACGAAATTACCTTGACTGCACCACGGCTTTGGCGCCAATGACTCTGAACTGATTGATAGAGCAACTTAGGAATACTTGCGTGAGTTTTACGTGGTGCTGTTTTCATGAATGTACTCAGTCAGACTTCTTAACTCGGAAAAAGGAAAAATGGAAAAAGGGGGGGGGGGGTGGGGTGGGGGGGGGGAGGGTTCTGTAACCTGATGTTTGAGATCTTTAGGAAATGCCGGTGTGAAAGACAAGGAAAGGGCGGATACCCTTGCAGGCAACAGTCCTCTGTAAGGCCTCAAACATATTAAAAAGCAGTCTCTTAACGGGCACGTAGTAAAAGGCGACTAGTCAATGGTTTGACTAAATCAGATGTATTGGGTCAGAAAGCCCAGATATCTGTCCGGAAACTTAGTTATACTTTATCTGTCTGTCTATCGGGACACTCAACCATACTTTATCTGTCTCTCTTGCCGTCCACTCAGCGAGACTTTATCTGTTTGTATTTCTGGCCACGTAGCTATACTTTATCTGTCTGTCTGTCCGGCTACTCAGTCATACTTTGTCTGTCTGTTCGACCACTCAGCCATCCTTTTTCTCTACGTTCACGCAGGCATACTTTATTTTTATGTCTAGACACATATGCATACTTTATTTGTCTGTATGGAAACTTTATTTATCTCTCTGGACACGCAGGCATACTTTATCTGCTGTGAGAAAAGTCCCCTGTACGGAGCCTTGCTGAAGAACCTGATCAACCGTTGTGACGAAGATAAGGATTCCAAGATAAGGTCAGGGGTCAAATGTTCTTCTTGTCTGTTGCCATGGTTATAGTAACGTTTTCAATCTCAGGCATACAATGATTGTCTGTTCATTTACGATTCGTGACCTTTCACACGTGCTAGTCTAAGTTACAGGGGTGTCACGTGGATTTGTGTTAGATCTTCCGAGCCGTGCATATTTCGCGTCGTGTACTGGTTGGTGTGAGCGGCTGGCGAGATTGCGTATATTGTAGCTTTCCCGGATTTCAAGTAGGACATGAATTCAGCTGTCAGCGTTGAGGAGAGTAGCGTTGCTTTTCTGCAGCAAGACGGCTTTTTTGGGACCGACGCAAAATGTTGACAATTCTGACAGCACTGGACGTAGGCTGCACTCTTTTGTGGGACGAAGGCTGAGGCTGTGTAAAAAAAAAAAAAAGGGGGGGGGGGGGTTTAGGGCTAGTTCTAGATTTTGTGAGGTTGTCCAAGGCGGCTACAGTGTAATATAGGACACGGGATGTTGCCGGTGATAGCGTCTAGATAAAACAACGTGACTCACCCTTGTAACTTCAACAAGCGCGTGTGAAAGGTCACGAAGCCTGAATGAATAGCCAATCATGGTGTGTTTGGGGCGAGAAACGTTCGAAGGACCACCGTATGTCTATCCCCAGCCTCCTTTATCACATGACAGTGGTAGAAGTAGTAGTAGTGGAGGCGGTGGTGGTGGTGGTAATAGTAGTAGTAATTTAGGTGAGGGTAATAGTAATAGCAACAGAAGCTGTAGCAATACTCGTAGCAGTGGTGTACTAATGATAACAATAGCCATGGTTTTGGTGATAGTAGCAGCCGCAGCAGCAGCTGTAGTAGTAGTAGTAGTAGCAGCAGCAGTAGTAGTAGTAGTAGTAGTAGTAGTAGTAGTAGTAGTAGTAGTAGTAATAGTAGAGATAGTAGTAGTACTAGTAATAGTAGCAGCCGCAGCAGCAGCTGTAGTAGTAGTAGTAGTAGTAGCAGCAGCAGTAGTAGTAGTAGTAGTAGTAGTAGTAGTAGTAGTAGTAATAGTAGAGATAGTAGTAGTACTAGTAATAGTAGCAGCAGCAGCAGCAGTAGTAGTAGTACTAGTAGTAGTAGTAATAGTAGTAGTAGTAGTAGTAGTAGTAGTAGTAATAGTAGTAGTAGTAGTAGTAGTAGTAGTAGTAGTAGTAGTAGTAGTAGTAGTAGTAGTAGCAGCAGCAGCAGTAGTAGTAGTAGTAATAGTAGTAGAGATAGTAGTAGTACTAGTAATAGTAGCAGCAGCAGCAGCAGTAGTAGTAGTAGTAGTAGTAGTAGTAGTAGTAGTAGTAGTAGTAGTAGTAGTAGTAGTAGTAGTAGTAGTAGTAGCAGCAGCAGCAGTAGTAGTAGTAGTAGTAATAGTAGTAGGGATAGTAGTAGTACTAGTAATAGTAGCAGCAGCAGTAGTAGTAGTAGTAGTAGTAGTAGTAGTAGTAGTAGTAGTAGTAGTAGTAGTAGTAGTAGTAGTAGTAGTAGTAGTAGTAGTAGTAGTAGTAGTAATAGTAGTAGAGATAGTAGTAGTACTAGTAATAGTAGCAGTAGTGGTAGTAGTAGTAGAGATAGTAGTAGTAATAGTAGTAGTAGTAGTAGTAGTAGTAGTAGTAGTAGTAGTAGTAGTAGTAGTAGTAGTAGTAGTAGTAGTAGCAGCAGCAGCAGCAGTAGTAGTAGTAGTAATAGTAGTAGAGATAGTAGTAGTACTAGTAATAGTAGCAGCAGCAGCAGTAGTAGTAGTAGTGGTAGTAGTAGTAGTAGTAGTAGTAGTAGTAGTAGTAGTAGTAGTAGTAGTAGTAGTAGTAGTAGTAGTAGTAGTAGTGGTGGTGGTGGTAGTAGTAGAAGTAGTACTAGTAGTACTAGTGCAGTAGTAGCAGCAGCAGTAGTAGCAGCAGTAGTAGCAGCAGCAGTAGAAGCAGCAGGAGCAGCAGTAGTAGTGATGACATGAAACAAAAGAAGAAGAACAATGCTGGCGTACTGAGTATATCCAGTAGTCATTTCGCCTGAAGTAACCTTTATATCCGAACTATTCTCACAGCTGGCCCCTGCTGCTGAGTTTCCTCGACAACGCCCAGAAAAATGCCTGGGAGAAGCATCCGGAGTTAGCCTCACTGCCACAGAAAGGCCGAGAAAAGGCTACGGTTCGAATCTCTACCCCTGAACCAATCGATGAGATGTCTAGCACTGCCAAGTCCAAGGTCGTTAACAAGCTGCTTAAGAAGGTCAGCATCAAATAACACAGAAAGGGTACTTCTTTAGCGACATGTGTAGCTTCTGGCCATCTTTCTAATCCCTCAATGCAGCATAGAGGCTCAACTAACTAATGCCAAGTCGTCCTATTCTTTGGCTATGGCATGCAAATCTCACTTTATGTTTCACTTCACTCTTCAATTTCCGTATCTGTGGTTTTTTTAAAAATCTTTCTTTGAGCTTGTGGGTTCCAGTGCAAATACATTCTAGTTATATTGTTCTCATGTTTTCTTAGCGTGTGTCGTATTTAGAACCAGCGTCTTTTCTTTACCGCATGATTCACTGGAATTTGTCTCCCCCCCCCCCCCCCCCCCCCCCCCCCCCAACGTCTACACAAGTTATTCCGTCATACATTTAAATCCTTCTATTCTTTTCAGGCACCACTTAATGAATGTTTGTAGCTCATTTGGAATTTTTGAAAAGACGTAGTGGCAGTGATAGACACACTGTCCCTTAGCTATGTGGTAAGAGGTCTCTAATGAAGGGTTAACTTAAATCGCATGTGTTGTCCCAAAGGTACAGATATCACATCCTAGTGGTCAACGACAACAATATCTGGCTACCAGACTTAAATGGATAAATACATATAAAACCAAACAAAAAGTATACCAGCAAGCTTCACAATATAACAAACAAAACGTGAACGTTGCGGCTATAGAGCCTTCATCAGCACATATAAAAATAAAACAATACCACACAAATACACAAAATTACTTAGCTTAGTATCTAGAAGCAGCCAATCGATGTCTTGCCAGTAGACTGACGAGAGATACGAGACAGGAGAAAAAATACTACCGGGGAATGCCAGGAGCTGTAATTGGAGGGTCTATAGATGAGGACAACAGGAGAACTTTAGATTTATTTAAATTTCTATTTCATTTAACAGAACCCGTCGTCTGCAGACGTGACCTCTGACCTACCAGAATTCAAACTTCTGTCCCTCCACAAGCAAGTGCTGGCGATGACATCAGAGGATGGTCACAAGGACGTGACCTTTCAGGAGGACGTCACACTGACCACGGTAGACGAGACACAGCGACCGTTAGAGCAATCCCACCAAGGTCAAGGCACCGATGTGTCCGGCCATACAAGGACAGCTAGTGAGATTAGCCAGCAACAGCTGGCGGGACGAGCTGAAAGACCACCGCTGCATCAGGACGTTGGCATGGCAACAGAGGACAGCGAGCTACCTAGTGACTCTACAAGTAAGCGGTTCTGGTTTTGGCCATGTCGAACTTTTGTTCCTTTGTTAGTTTCATTAAACAGTTCTCTCAATCTTGTGGTTTGTGTGTATTAAAACATCTAGTCTGAAACGGTTCAGCCAGATAGTGAAAATGAATCCGATGATGCCGGCAGTGTGTGGATAGAACATGACAATGATGTACACACCAAGAGACAGAGGGAGACCTTCAAGACAAGAAGATGGATCGACTGAGTTACTGACAAACTCAAACTTCACAATCTGTCAAACGGATGCACACGCAACACTCAGGCTCAGGACAAGGACTGCAGTCCAGAAGTGGACGAACAGCCAGAGCTTTGCAGCCGGTGAATGCGAAGAAGAAGAAGAAGAAGTATGCTAAGCAACCCAGCGGGACCTAACTTGGCTTCCCATCATCTGTTTAACTGAGGCACCTTAAGTGCAGAGCAGATATTGAGAACAGATACATAAGGAGAAGACACATTTCAGTTGGGGCTTTTTGGGTCATGATGATGATTACTGGCACCTTTCCGTCTGTCGAGACGAGAGTGTTTTATTACGGTTTGAAGAGGCATGAACTCACAGCCCATGGCGATGGCGATTACGACCGAGGATGAAGTTTATCCTCTCCATAGTGCAAGTATGCTCAGAAAGATAGAGAAAGGCTGGGTCCGAAGGCAGTGGTTGGTGGATCTACAGAATTTACGACTGACACGATTAGTTTCATTTTCGTGCCAGGATATGTGGGGGTACAAGGAAATGATCAAGCTGATAATCTTGAGGTAAGGCTACTGTGAAAGCCGGACAAGCCACGGACCAGGCTGGTATACTGAACGCTCTAAGAGAGTTAAGACGTTTGCGTGAACCAACCAAGAACTGTGAATCTGCAACCATAGTCAGATTGCAAGAACAACATGTTAAACGGGGTGTCGCCAAACAAGAACACTACTCGGGCAGCCAAAGAAGAAGAATAAACCAACACAGAACTGGTGTTGTTAGCCGCTACACGCTGCGGGATTTACTGAGGTGGGGATCCGAGCACTTATGGACTGAGTGGCTCGACGTGCTAACTAACTCACTCTCCATAACACAAAGTCTGGGCAGTATTGTAGAGACCATATGTTGCCCATGCATCATGGTCCCTATCTCAACCTGCCTTGTTTACTCGAAAGGAAAGGTGACACCGGTATGTTTGGAACGAAGCAGGCTGAGAAGCCTACGAAGATTTAAAATTCCAAATCACTGAGGGCCTAAGCTGCTTGCGATTTGGCAGTAGACCGCTTTGACTTGATGCCAACAGTGGCATCAGAGTCAAGCGATGAAAATAAAATGGCTACTCACTCAAAGGTAAATGTTGCCACCAAACCCACAAGTTGTCAACAAATGGCTTACGGTCGCGCTTTAACTGA